GCTTTTTTTTTTTATTTCAGCATATTATGGGGGTACAGATGTTTAGGTTACGTATGTTGCCCTTGCCCACCCCCCACAAGTCCGAGTTTTAAGTGTGTCCATCCCTCGTATAGTGCGCATTGCACTCTTTGGCTTTTCCAGCTTTGGGTTATTTTGTTCAACCGATGGATTAGTTATAACCTTAGTCATGTCACTCAAACTTTTCCCGTAGGTTCAGTACAAGTTCATCCACTTTCACCTTGTTTTGCCAGCCCACAATCAACAGATGAGCTCTTTATCTGTTGAATGAGAGCATTTATTGAGTCTGAGCACATGTACATTCTGTGGACAACTGAAAGAGAAAACTAAATAAACTTTGCATTTATAAGGAATTTTTTTGAAAATTATGAGAAATCAAAGTCAGATATATATAAAAAAGTAAGGTTTGTGTGTGATTGTGCAAACAGAAGCTTAATTCATTTTAATGCAACCACATAATCCCACCAAGTCATCAGCTAAACAATGTAAGAATCGCATCTCCTTTAACGTTCAAATAGAAATTAAACGGAAGGTTCATCTTACAAAAGTAGTATCAGATGATCACCTCAGTTATGATTTCTGGGCAGACACTCTCATACCAGACAGACCAAGGTAAAACTTTTTGCTTTAAAATACCAGTTGGACTGGTTATACATTCCACATGATGTAAATACTCTTCAGGGGATAAAGATAATGAGAAAGTGACATTTTCTGCCTCACCCGCAGGTGTGTACAGAGTAGTATAACATATTTGAGTTTTGCTGTAGGTTAAAAATCAGAAGTGAGGTATTCCTAGGTAAAGATTAAATCACATCCACTAATGGCAGAGTGTGACAAGCAGGGTTAAAGAGGAAAACAACAAAAATATGTTGAAGGTATTAAGAAATACAAAAGAGATATTACAACGACAATCTTTCATTAAGAGAAAAAAGTGATGTTATAAATTATTTTCCACACATTTTCTGAGTGAGAATTTTGTAAACAGCTTGGAGACATGATACATTTGTATGCTTTATGAGAAGTGCATATAACTTGCTGGTAGTATTTTCTTTATCCTGTTTAGGATTTGTGAACTTGTTATTGTTCAGGGCTTTAGTGGAATAAGTACTGAAATACCAATACATGGATAAGTATAACGTGTGTATTTTTCTATGATTAGCCAGAGATATCTGTAACTGTTATGTGAATTTTACAAAGATACCCTATAGATTTTTACTTAAAAAGTAAAAACACATTCACCACCAATGCCCATTCAAAAACCATATTTCAGATTGGAAAACAGAACATAGTACTGACACTGATGATTGTAAACAATACCGAAGAGAGATTCGTTCTTTGCAGGTTTCACATTTTTTCTCTTTTTCTCATCATTTCCTGTACCTAAGGAAAATAAAAAAGAATTTTTTTTTCCATTTGTGATTTTGTTCTACTTAAAATCACCATATTTTGTGGAGTTAAAATGTGTAGAGATTTAAAATACAGAAGTCCTTGTACTAAGTTGGAATAAATAATTTAGACTTTGATAAGTCAAAGATACATGTTGCAATTTCTAGGGGAACCATTAAAAATATGAAGAGGACTATTAGGGCAGAGACCACATTCTGTATGATATTGTGATGGTAGATACATGTCATATACATTTGTCAACAGCCATAGAATGTACAACATAAAGAGAGAACCCTAATGTAAACTGTGGACTTTAGTTACTAACAATGTATCCATGTTGGCTCTTTGATTTGTAACAAATGTACCACACCAATGTAAGATGTTAATAATAGGAAAAATTAGTGGTAGGGGATAGGGTAAGGATAAGGAGGTAAATGGGAACTCACTGTAATTTCTGCTCAATTTTCCTATGAAACTACAACTGATTTAAAAAATAAAGGTCCTTAATTAAAAAAAAAATCACTCTAACAAGAAACCAAAAAGTGTATAAAAGTATACAACTTCTAAGCTAATAGAGGGAAAGAAGAGTGACAAAAAAGGCAAAAAGTAGAGAAAAGAAACACAACAGGTAGGACAAATAGATAGCACATGGCAAAACAAGAGATTGAAACCAAAATATATCTTTAATTACATCACATGTAAATGGTTAGAAGCTTGCCAGATTTGAATACTAATGATAAAAAAGCAAAACCCAATTATATGCTATTTATAGGAAACACATCTAAAATTTAAGGATAGGGAAAAGTTAAAAGTAATAAGATAGAGAAAGATATACCACTTAAATATTAACTGAAATAAATCTGGTATAGCTACAATAAACTTGAACAGAGCAGTCAGAGTTCATAATACACCTCTTTAAAATAAGTGCAATTTATCAGACAGATATAAAAATTCTAAATTCATATGTGCCTAATGATATATCCTCAACCACATGTATACAGCAAAAACTCACCAAACTATGGGAGATAGGCAAATTCACAATCATATTAGAAAACCTGAACAATTTGTTTAGCAAGCCTGACCTAATGGATATATTCAGAACATTCTCTAATAATTGCAGAATAAACATTTTTTTCAACTTTAAATAATACATTCACTACAATTAACCATATGCTGTGTCATAAAACAACTCAACACATTTCAAAGATTTGACATCATGCAAAGTATGTTCTATAAGCAAAGTACAATTGACTTAGAAACCAAAAGATAACTACAAAATTTAATATCTAATAA